ATAATCTGAATGGTCAATTGCTGTATCCTTCCTAGTCTCAAGAATGTCTTGTCTTGGAAAAAAAGAAATTTTATTTATATTGTTATTAAAAGAGAATATGAAGGACAATTAGTCTGGCTTGAAATTGGAGGGAAGATAAGAAATATAATTAGAAATTGATGTGTTCTCCCCCCCCCCAAAGCTCTGGATTGAAGGGAGACCAAATTGATTTATTTCTTAAACATTATTTAAAATAAGTGGAGATTAGCAAAGTATTAGTGGGAAGACTGATGTGTTTCTGCCAGCCAGCCAAACTGACTGAGACAATTGAAAGAAACCATCAAATGGCATCAGTGGGGCTTTGCTGGGGGGTTGTGGTACAATAATAAATAGTTGAGCAAATGTGTCCAAACAAATTGTGTAAAATTTTATGATAGGATTTTAGAGAAGTCCATGATAATTGGGTTCCAAACAAAAACGTAATAATAATAAGCTGCCATCAGATGTTCAGTATATAATGCATACATTTCTGAAAAGAAAGGACACTGATGTTAGTTGTGGCATAAAAAGATGACAGTCTAATACCAGTTAGGAAAGAACACTGCTGCATATATGGCGGTAGCATAGATGTTGCCCCAAAATGTTTGGAAATAAATAAATTGATAGATTTTTAGAGCCAAAGCCATTATTATCTTCTTTTCTGATCTCCTGTGTTGCCAACCCAAGCATTCTGAAATTATTAATCAGGCTCTACAAGAGGATTAAACATTCTGTTTTGAATCTACTAAACCCAGATATTCAAAGTTTCCTCTCCTATTATTCATATCAAGATACATAAGTAATGACCTTTCTCATGACAGCTAGATATGAAAGGTTGACTTGACATAGCACAATGATGTGAGATTTTCTTTTCTTTAAAAATGTGGGAAAATTATTAGTATGAGTACTCCCACATAAATGTTTTGTCTGAAAAATAATTTGCTTAGGAAAAAAAATGTGTAGCCTAGTTTGAAAAAAATGTGAGAAACAGTGAATGTAAATAAGGTCTCAAAATGATGCATACTGTATACATTTTGGTACGCAGGTGTGCTCATGTGCTTGCATGCACACATTAGAGTCTAATAGGCCATTTGGATAGCCAACACTGATATAGCAGTTTGACTTATCATTGTGAGTCTGCTCTCCTTGTGTGCGTAAATGGTGAAAAAAGTACAGTTGAATCACTGAGGTTCCAGATTGTGCACAACTGGCTCTTGCTTCCAGATTAATGTACTGTTTGGAGTTCAAGAAATATTGATCAAGGCACTGGGAGATGTTTTCTCTTTCCATTTTTACTAACTCTCTTCAGTGCTGCAGAGGAGGAGGGGAGAAAAGAGGTCCAGATGGGAAGAAGACAGGTCCTGAAAAGACCACATAGGAACTAGGTCAGGTACTCTGCAGATTAAAAAAGCATGCTTCATCCCTATGTGCAGGAGGCAGGGACAAGCAGCACACAATTACAAGGAATTAGAACAGCAACAAGTAGTTCAGATTTATCAGCTTTAATTGTCTATTGTCAAGACAGAGCTGGTCGGTAGATCAGGCTGCTGCCGATGCCTTAATACCTCTAATGGACTCTCCATTGTGGGATTATCTCTTCTAGGGGACAGGAACAGTGTCGTTTTTAAAAAGTTATTGTTTCAGGCTATGCCCTCCCACCGAAAAAGAAAAAGAAAAGAAATACTCCTATAAATTAGTGTTTCGTTAGTTTTTATGTATTTTCCGGCACACATGTACAGATGCACAACTCCCTTTCTGCATTTCTTCCTCCCACCATTTGTTTGACATGTTGTCTTTTTAAGGAAGTAGCTGAAGACCCTGATGAGTTTCTTTCAGTGACCTGTGTTTTTTAGTGGAACTCAGAAATACCCATTTGAACATTAACCTCTTCATCAGTGAGCTCCCCTGGCAAAAACAATAGCCTGTTGATAAAGGAGGTGATAAGCAAGAATAGAGAGTTGCAAGGGAGATCTCAGTTCTCTTTGTTTCCAAAGCTTTCCTGGATTTTGCAAGGCAAACATTTACCACATTTGGAAAGGAGGATAAGGTGTCACCCATTTAATGAGCACAGATATATTTGTGTGTGTGTGTGTGTGCGTGTGTGTGTGTGCGTGTGCGTGTGTGCGTGTGTGCGTGTGCGTGTGTGCGCGCGCACACACATCTAGTGTCACTGGCTGAAAAAAAAGATACTGTCATCACCTTCAGAAGAGTATGATTGATGACTTTTCTGTAAATGGAAATATCAAGAGAAATATTGATAAGGCAAATACAGTATTGTTTTTTCAGTGTGGCTTTAGTATATTCAGTTATTCTCAGTCATGAATAGGATTTTGAAATGTGTAATGTTTATACCTATATTTCAGCTTGCATCATTTTTCACGGGCCTGCTGAACTTAGTTAAAAACAATCAGCAGTTGCGTGCGTGTGTCTTTTAAGATTACCTTTTAAGATTACCTTTTATTATTCATTTCTATATGTGATGCAGTCACCTTCTTAAATCATCAACTATCAGTTCTAGTTCTAAGAGCATACTGTCACTACGTCCCTCCCCTCTTTTGAGAACATTGTATTAAAATAAAGCACGGTAAATATGGTCCAGAAAGCAGAAACTTGGCTTTTAGGCAAGCGGCTTTTAAAAAACTGTTGTGGCTCTCAGTCTTCATCCCTGTTTGTAAAATGGGAAGGAATAGCTGACAATATATGTCTGAAACATCCAAAGAATTCTTAAAATGAAGTTTATTAACCATTTTATGGCCATGACATTAGGATCCCTAATACCATATTGAGTTCTTGTTCAGCTACTCGGAAAAGAAACACCATCAATGAGAGCTTGTAAAGGAATTTATTTCATTATTCATTATTTCTGCAGCCAAGTTGCAGTTATTGTTGCTCTGATTACAGAAGCATTGTTGCATTGTGCATTCCTGGTGAGCTGCTATGTCCTTGCTCACAGAAAAATGCAAAGAAACACTCTCGGTTCCCTCTTATGGTGAGTTCTGATATTACGCCTTCTTAATATTTATTACAATATAAAAGACAAAACCAAACAAATAATATTTCCTTTATCAATTAAAGGGGGATTTCAGAATGGCATAACACTTGCAGAACTATGGTGTGACTGCCTCTAAAACACCTTTGAAAGTAACAGGTTATGCACTACATCTGAAAAGTAACATTGTAATTACTTCTTGTTAAAGGACAAGTCATGTGACTGGTTTGGAACAAGAGGCTAATATCCATATTTTCCCATGCAGAGCTAGCTAGTCAACCTAAGGATTTTTTATTATTATTATTCTTGGCCACCTTTATAGAACTACGTTTTCCAAGATTCTCTGGGGATAGAGAAAGAGTGTTAAAACTAGTTTATGCATATGGTATAGATTCCAGTCTCTCCAGGTACACTAGTGTTAGTATAGGTCATTTGACAGAAAGAACATTCATTTATCCATGAATCATAAACTAGGCAGAAAAACCAATTCCAGTTCTTAGCACTAAATAGTTAAACAGTTTATATATACAGTAGATGTTTCTTTGTGGGATATTGAAAAAAATGTGGCAAATATGGATGATAAAGTTACATTCCACCGTGGATTGCTACATTTATCTGTCGGTCGGTCGGTCCGTTCATTACATTGATACTCCATCTTTCTTGCCATTAGCTTAAGACTGTGTCTCATCTCCCCAGGTTTACCTAAGGTCATCCAGTGAGTTTCATAGCTGAGTGGAGATTTGAATCCATCTTTCCTGAGTCCCAAGTCAACACTGTAACTACTACACCACACTGGATTTCTTGAGACATTTAATTATGGAGCATTGTATCTTGCAACCCATGAATGGAAGAATATGATCCAGGAGCCAGTAGCTTAGTTTAACAAAGTTCTCATGCACTGTATGATTTAGGTTGCAATCCCATACTCCCTTATACCTTTGATAAAGCCATATTGAATTCAAGGGGACTTGCTTCTGATTAGGCCTCTGTAAGATTGCGGTGTTGTTTAAGTTTTATTTACATAACACAAGCAGTTGAAAAACAGCTTTTCAGTTATCAGAAGATAGTTTCCATGTGCATGGCAAAAGAGACATGGCAATCTGGTTCAGAGATCGATGTAATGAATGTGGCACTATTAAAAATGGGGTTGTCAATGTTCAAAAATATTACTGATCAGCCTGTACCTCTTGTTCTTGCTTGGCCAAATCAGAAATAAACTTCAAGAGATTCAGGAAATGTTGTGATCTAATAATCCAATCCAATATATTTTATAACTAATGCTCAGGACAGAAAATTGAATGTATTAATTCAGAGCATTTTTTGCTATGAAGCTTAGCACTCCCAAACATATGTGGTGTTGAAACAACTAATACATGTCAGGTACACTTTCAACACATCCTTATTTTGAATCCAGGAAGTGTCTATCATGTGAAGACATCTTGCAGTACTAACATTTTCAAATGGACATTTGAGGTATGTAATTTGTTTTCTTCCAAGACTGCGTGTTGCTTGCACATTTCTCTTTATGTTGTGCATCTCCCACCCCTGTGTTGCATGATGTAGTTCCTACTGCATAGCTTTCTATCAAGAATAGATTTGCAATAATGAAGATGAAACACTTTGAATTTGGGATTCATTTATCACACATACAGAGCAATGTCTTCTTATTGTTGGGATCATTGTCAGGGGTGCTTCCCAAATATTTGGGACCCTAAAGATGACTCTATGGAGGAAGTGGGGAAATGAAGAGAGTTGTTGCTGGTTTTGATGTGGTTTGACTGTCCCTGACCTTGTTTTGGTAAGGAGGAGAAGGATGTGAAAATGGCTCTGCTTGAATCTCTTTGGCGCTTTAACACCTCTGCAGCACCTTTACAAAAGTTTCATGGCTGAACCCAGTTTCTTAGATTCCATTCTGCTCTCTCCCACTTTTTAAAATGGCATTTATGCACAGACAGAAAGAAAATGGGGAGGGGGAAGTCAGCTGCTGCTGCAATTGCTGTTGCTCCTGCTGCTGCTACAGCTTGAGTAGCACCAAGTCGCTGTTTGAGCTGATAACATCAGAGGAAATGAGGTGGGGGGTAGGGAGAGGAATTCTGACATCAGCGCTGTTAGAGCCATTCAGAAATGCTGACTAATTAGTTGAGTTTTTCTGTGAGCAGAGAGGGGAAAATGAAAACATGATTAAAAAGTTCTTTTTCTGAAATGAGCAACAGTGAGATTGCAGATTCAGGATGATAACACATATATAGTTGTGGCAGGTTCCTTTGCAAAAGTTACAAGCTCTCAAGTCAGTTACATTTCTAGATACATATATATTTAGAAAGAGACTTGTGGCATCTTTAGGTCAAACATGTTTTATTTGGTGTGAGCCTAATTTGTGAATTAGGTTATGTCCACAAAAACCCATGCTAAATCCTCTTAAAAGTGCCTATGTATGTATGTATGTATGTATGTATGTATGTATGTATGTATGTATGTATGTATGTATGTATGTATGTATGTATGTATGTATGTATGTATGGTTATTTATTTATTCTGTTTTACTGCAACAGTATATCTGAGAAAGTAAATGTCCACAAAAGCTCAAAATATAGCAGTTAGTCTTTAAGGTGCCCAAGCATTTTTGTCTTCTTTATTTTTTCTTTTTCTTTTGATTTTTACCTCAGAAACATGTATCCATAAAATAAATGTCTGCAGATGTGTCTGCAAAAAAACCTAAAATGCTCAGAGGTCAGTGTGGATGTGTAAAAAGCAAACATCCCATGGTATTTGCTCCAGTTGACCAAGGTATCTTCTCGGTGTTTGCACTCACCCTTGCTTTGTTTAGTTGACACTCCAAGGACCCTTGAGTAAAACAGACAGACCAAAGAAGAAGAAATGCCGTTAGAACATTTTGCTGTCTTCTGAACAGCCAGTTCTCATATAGCTTGTGCAACCTTTATGACAGACAGAAACTGTGATGAAGATGAAAGAAAGATGTCTAAACCAACTCCTATTCACACCTAGAGAAGCTCAGTTGAACCAATTGCTGTTTATCAGTCTGTTTTGACTGTGGCCAGATTTAGGTCTAAACTGTGTGTCATACTTGCATTATCACTGCAGCATCACACATAAGCTCTGTCTTTTATTTTTGTTTTTATAGCAGCCTCAGCTTATCTCACAGTCTGCCTTCCTTTGGGGAAAAATTATTTTGCAGTGACTTTCTCCTTTCCAACTCTTATTCTTGCAACAACAGTGCTATATAGAGTAAGCTGTCAAGGTCACGTACAGGCATTGTAGACCTTTTCTGTCGTAGGTAAGTGAGACCGAAATGGTTGCACTGATAACTGTGCTAATGAACACTGCTCTCAGCTAGTTCTGTACTTGGCTCAACAAACTCAGTATTCACAGCCATGAATACTCCATGTTATCACTGGTTAGCCAACAGTGTTTATGTGTGTAATTCCTATAAGCATCATTTCCACCAAATGGAAGCAAAATAACTACTTACATAGCTGATGAGAAAAAACGCTGCAAGTACTATTTCCTGTCATTGAGATACTTTGTTGTATATACCATCTCTGCAATTAGAAGCAATAGAGAATTTGTTAATGGTTTGTACTATCTTGTCTACTTAGCAACATATATTTAAATACATTCAGGGACCAAGAAAACTAGAGGACATGTTCATGTCAAAAATGAGACTTTTGCTTTGTATATGTGCAGGGAGAAAGAGACAGCTTCAGTATGACTAGCTATGCTACTATTCCACCCCATACAGTATGACTCAGGGACATTTGGTAGTGCCTGAACAACAAGCATATTTACTGCCTCAGTAGGGCAGCTTTCCATGCTGAGCTTAGATGTCATATACATTGGGTGACAGACATGGTTTATTCCCATACTAAGGCCAGCCTGGATATCCAGTGTTGTTAATTTTGTTCCGCTGGATTCATACAAAAAGCTGCTGTAGAAGTCTGACAAATAGTGGTCAGAGAGTTTCCATTTTAATTTATGCTGATTACAAAGAGAAAGGTCATTAGCAACCTTCACCTGTGTGATAAAGTCAAACATACCCAGCTCCCGTATCCACAGATTCCTTAGTTGTAAGAATATGATACTGTGCCAGTGCAGAGTTACACACTGAAGCACCCCCCGAGTGGTTAGTAGTCAACCACTTCTCCTCAAGCATCATTTAATTAACCAGGGCAAGGTGGCTGGATTTCTTTGCTTTGAACAAATGTTTCTTCCTACTGCATATCCAATTACTTTTATACCCATCAGCATGTTGCCCTCACCACCTTTCTTGTGGAATTAGGTGCAAGTAACAGTTAAGCTAGGACACTTGTTTGGCACTGTTGTCCTACTTACGTCCAACAGTATGAGTCCTTTTCTATTAGAGGATGCCAAAGGTCTTTACACAGATATGTGCTATTCTCAGTGTGGTGTCACCTAGAATGACAAATAATCCCTTTCACCTTCTTCTGTAAGAACTTCAGAGCAGGGATGGCATGGCATATGTCTCTAGGAGAATGGTCTTTCATTTCAAACAGTGAAAAAAGTAATCATTCTTGTGAGTAATATAAATCCCTGCATTAGGAGGTACTTAATTTATATATATATATATTTATAACAAGGCAAAACAAGTTTCTGCCCACGTAAGAGGAAAGCCAAGATAAAAACATGTCTGCAGTTGTGATGCAAAAAGGAAAAGTAGGAGACTTGTCCTCTGGTGAACCGACTGGTGTTTGTAACGTGGCGAGTGACTATAAATGGAGCTGTGCGTCCTCATTAACTGTTGTGAGCTGAAGGATTCCTCAGCCAAGGACCAGGAGCACTGAAGGAAGTTAGACATCTGCTTTGTTTGGTAATGAGAAGTAGGAATGCAATGTCTATGCACTTCATAATAAACAAACAGGACATTGTATGCCATCATCACAGGATGTCCTTCCTTCAAGGCAGCACACTAACATGGACAGGAGGAAAAAGAAATGGCAAGAGCACATGTTCCTCTAATCACTCCACAACAGTGCTTCTCTGAAAAGCAGTATGGGTTTTAAGTGATCCCAACTAAATAAATGGTAGTCCTTTTCTTTCTGTACCATGCCAGTATAGGAGCCCTCTTTTGCCCAAGTATGAGTACAGAAATGTTAATTTTATGGTTTCCTCTTCCAGCCAATGCTGTTTGTAACAACACAAACAAGATTACTACTTCTTTGCTATACTTACTGTCCTGGGAATAAGTACCATTGAACTTGAATGAGTTGCACTTCTCCTTATTCTATAAAATAGGAAACAGTGTTTCAGTTTTCAAATACAAGAAATATATAACTTATGAGTCAAATTGGATAACAGTGTTGCATAATTATTATTGTTATTTTTCAAACCTTATGCAGGGCTCTATTGTGTTTTGTTTTTTTGTGTTTTTTTTTGCTTAATTTATAGATAGAAATAAGGGACAGCAAATCATTGTGTTAGTTTCTTCTATATCATGCTGTTGTGTTGTTGTTTTTTGTAATGACTAATAAATTTCTAGAAGATAAGAGACAACACAATAGTTTACAACTCCAAATGTTTCTCCTTTCGGATGGAAGCTCAGTTTAGCTGCCAGCAAAATGTTAAGAGGCAAATCTATATTGGTATGATCTGCAGAAAGGAAAAAATTCCTTCTGACTGGATCAGAGTTTCATTGGCTAATTTCTGTGTAAATTGCAGGTATAGCCCCACCCCACCCCTGCTGTTGGCTGCCCTGTGAGTAAATCAGAGATGAGTAGGAAACCTGAGACAGGGAGGAGAAAGGAAGAGTCTGTTTGCCTAACACAGACTGAAAGTATTGTAACATTCAGCCTCCAGTGTTAAAGCAGCAGAAGTTAAAGCAGCGAGTGCAGCAGCACCTGACACTAGAGAGGGAGGGAGGCAGCCACAAGCAAAAAAGAGTTAACTCTCTAGGTGTGAGTCAGTATTACTTGAAACAGGCAAGTGGTGGAAGGCAGGAGAATGTTTACTCTGTAGACATGTTTGCAACTTACCTGAAACATCGTGCTTCCAGCTGGAAATATATGTGGACTGTACCTTGGTAAGAGACTTTCTTCCTCTTTCTGAATCCAGGAGACAGATCATTTGAGCACAGTTTTGAATGAAGATGGCACTGAACAGAGTGAAAATGGGAAACATTTTCTCCGGAGCCTCCCTCGTGAAGTTCAAGGGACCTTTGTTTTTCTGATGATTAATTCTTTCACTGGTAGTAGCAACTGCCAGTTCACTGAGTTTCAGAATTACTTCTTTCTCCAAGTCTACAAAGTGTTGAAGCCTTGTGTTCAAATTGTTTCAGAGTATTGGCAGGAGGCAGGCAGTTTTTCAGGGTAATCAAGCCTGTAAATGCTGTGTGAAGAACCATTGAGTTTGCAGACGTGAAATGCTGTGAAAAGGTGTGGAATTAAACTTTTTTTCCCTTCAGACACTCTTGCCTTGTACAAAATACTTGAGTTGGAAATATGACTTGCCTTTGTGCCTGTATAAGTTAAACTCTTTGATAGGATTTGTAGTACATGGATTTTTTGTTTTGGAAGGGCTGTGGTTTAGCCCTGTGACTTTGTACCAAAGAAAGCAAAACATTTTCAGATGTTAACAGTATGTTTCTAATCGGCAGTTTAGTTTTATGATATGAGCTGAGGGGCTGAATGTTGTGTGTCATTTTAGACTTGTACTTTTTCACTAATCGTACTGCACTGCTCTTTAAAAGGCAGTGCTCTTTTCTGACTAGGAAAAGATCATGGATATTAAATAGTAAAAATGTATACAGTATAGGAACTTTGCATGGTAGGCTGTTGTTATTATTCCCATGTTATATGTGGTTATAGACTGAGGCTTGTTTTTGAACATTGCAAGACTATCCATGGTTGTTGTTTCACGTTAGGGGCCATACTCAGAGCTTGCTACCACAGTAAATCTTCAGTGACATCCAACTGCAGCTTCATGACTTCTAGAATTTATTTAACTACTTCGTTCTGTTTGATGACTATGCAAAACAAAGGAGTGTGTGTGTGAGAGAGTGTGTGTGATGGTGGAGTGTGAATTTTGCTAGTTGTTTCTGGAGGGATGCTGGCAGGATACAGCCTCCTTTAGCTTTCCACCCCAGAGGATAAGAGGATATCAGGGGAGGGAGGGGGATGTTGCTTTTGAAAGTTGTTTGTGTGTTGGAAGCTGGTGGGAAAGTTCAGCCTTCCCCGTTTGGAAAAGGCTAGGCTGAGTTCCGCAAACTTTCCATTTTTAGCTCATTCAGACGCAGACAGCAGTTCCTTCCTTTTCCTTTCCTTGTTTGTGACACTTTTCTAAGGCTGCTTTTCCACAGGACACAAAAGTCTTTGAGTTTTCAGATACCTCCTCCCACTATTCAGATATCCAGGACAGGTTCTAAAAGAAGTGTGCACAGGTGCTGCCTTCAGACACTTAATACTTTTTTAGCAGCCCAGATTGGTTCAATGCAGGCAACTCAATGTATAGTGCATTTCATGCTGTCTTCTCAGCTACACATTAATGTACTCAGTGTGCTAGTTAAATCACACTGCTAGGGACGTTAAGAATGGGAAGTAAATGTGGCTTTCTTTTCCAGGCTGCCACACTGTGTAGCTCATATATTGTGAATCACAGACAACTGAGAAAAGGGACAAAGTTGATAATGAAAATGGACATGAAGGATGCTGACATGACTGTATGGACAGAGGCTGAATTTGAAGACAAGTGTACGTACATTGTGAACGATCATCTCATAGAGCCCGGCACAGAAGGATGCAATGTAACCCAAGCTGAATCTTCCTTGCCCAGGAACTTAATTTTCAAATATGCTGGAAATGGCAAAGAGGTAAGAATATGTTTGTGAAGAATAAGTACAGTGTGGTAGCCAGATCACATTGTTCTTAAAAATGGGAATGCTCTTTTAGTTTCTGTTCTTCGTTGTTGTTGTTGTTGTTGTTGACATGTAGACCCTGCCAGTTTTTAGACCTTATTTGAACAATATAAAGGAATGGGTGTTGAAATTTCAATTTCTAGTATCCTGAACAAGAAAAAATCAAACCCTGTGTGACTGGTCCATAGCTATTGGGTTTTCTTTCTATATGTGTGCGTTTTTCTAGATTACTCAAGATGATGGCAGTTCCCAAAATTTCATCCCATACCAGTTTAGAGCTAACTATTTGTAAAATTCTAAGCACATATATCTGGAGGACAGGATTATCTTAAAGATGGATTTCTTACATGTTTCTTGGGTAGAGGATGAAATACTGTAGTTGTATGAAGGCATTGCAATGAAATGTGCAATCTTTTTATTATTATTATTAAACTTGAGTTTTGGGGTGGCTTTTTGTATGTTTTTCACGGTGAAATTATGGCCAGATCACTGAACCAGTAACCCATGTTTATATGACTTGTTTATCTAGGGCAGTACCTCTTTATTTGTAGCTGGACACACTTATATTTCAGTCTCTGTCTCTTGAATAGGTACATTCCTTGTTGTTGTTTCAGAAGGGCTGGGGAAAAATTAGCCTGGATGAGCAATTGGCTGTCTGTTTATTCCTTCCTTCATATAAAGTAGCTATTATAGTTAGGCGTGATGTTCAGCTGGCTAATAATGGTAGGGACAGCCCATCCTTTTTGTCCCTGTCCTGCAACTTGTTGTGGAACAGCTATAACCTGTGCTGCTACTGTGGCTAAACAAACTGACCACGGTGCTAACAAAGGGTATAGTTATGAAAAGTATTCTGAAGCAGGTAGCATGGAAGGATTTGCATCAGGAACCAAGGTTAAAGTTTCAGCTGATATAAACTGGCACCTTGCTGTTATTGTTGTTGGAGAGTGCAAGGGGTGTGCAGTAGGCCAGTTATCTCTATGGATTATACTTTCAAAGTACTGTACTTTGTACTATCTCCCATTCTGTATCCCACCAAAATTGTAAGCTAAATGAAACAGAAGCTTTAAAAAATATTCGAGGCACACTGTGCCTCCAGTTTGGTGAAGAAACTGTGATGCCAGGACAAATAGCCTGAACTCCTGACTGGTTAGTCTGAGTACAAACCAAAGATGAAGATACTTGCTAATGGCAATTTTTGTACTGGAATACGTCCACTTGGTTTAAACTTTTCTGCCGCATCAAAAGTGGGTTGGGGGACTTGTGGAGGGGAGCTTCCTTGCTCTGTGTTGGCAACTTAATTATGTCTTTATAATGTCCCTGCACATCTTGAAGCGCTGTTCGTAGAGTATTGCCAGGACAGTTTTGAACAGAGTTTTTCAGTTTAGGAAAATAGTTTAAAACTATCTACACAGAATTTCTTGTTGTCTCACATAAAATGTTGGGTACTTGAGTCTTATCACAGAATCTCTAGATAAAACAATTAGATACTTTTCACTGGAGATTCATTTGATAAGTAAAAAGAAAACAGAAGGTTCTTTATATCTTACTTCCCTTTCATGACCAAGATATCTAATTTTGTTTATTATATGGTGCCTGAGACTTAACTGTCTGGATTTCACTTGATTATCACTGGTTCTTCCCACCAGAGGGGAAGCAGAAAAACAAAATCTGTTTTGTTTCCATGGATAGCATGATGCTTTTAAAACTCAATCATTTTAATCCTGATCTACAAACAAATAGGTTGACAACTGAACCTTTTAAATGTACATGGGTGTAAAACTTCTGATAAGTTCTGAAAGCCATGTTATTTTTCTGTTTCCTTCTCAAGATTTTTTTTAAAAGATTACTCAAACAGCCATCATACATAATGATGCAAGTGATGAGTTGTATTTCTATTGACAAAAGCATACTTACAAAATATGAGTCTTTTCCGTCAGATTTATATTTAGGGTAATGTGCCTGTCTGTAGACTTCTAAAATATTACATCACAGTGTCTAGAATATATTTTGAGTGGATAGCTATTTGTACCTAAGTTTTGGTTCCGGTGTTCTCCTGTTGCTTTGCTAAGGCTTGAATCCCATGGTTTACTGAAGAAGAAAAAAATGCCATAACCTGTCATGTGGATGGGTTTTGTTGAGGATTATTTTAATACATATCTTAATACATGTGTACATACGTACATACATAACCTTTTTTTAAAAAATCTACATACGTACGTACGTACATACATACATAACCTTTTTTTTTAAATTGCACTTTTATTATCTTTATTAAGTAAACTAAAAAAGTTGTTAAGTATGTGTATGCTTTTTTTGTCCCATTTGAGTTGGCTTAAAAAGCATATCACCTCTGTATGGATTTTAGAATTTGTTTTGTGCCAATACCCCGCTTTTGTTTCTTTGTTTTTGTAATGTTACAAAATTTGTTGGCACCCTTTTAAAGGAAATTGCTTTAGTTCTCGTTAATTGAAGTTTTATTTATTGTGGACATGAATTTCATAGTATGTTTAGCTCTTTGATTTAGTGTTGAAAGCTAAACTATTTCTTTCAACTGAAATTAGTACCATATAGGGTACAAACTGACGTCAGGTCTGCACTGTCAATACTCCACAATGTTAATTTTTTTTAATTCATTTCTTTATTTGAACATATTTCTGTCAAATTTCCAAACTGGTTTCCATTAACATAACAATAGGGGTACAATAACAATTGTGAAAAAAGAACAGTACCTAGATAAATCATTGAAAGACAAAAAAGCAGTAAAATAATACACTCCAAAAACGCAAGTAAACAGAAAAGTCAAAACCAAGTAAGTCTTCTTGACAGAGTTTTCCAGTTGTAGGCTGCCAAAGGAAAGGAAAGCCTAGCTGAGGATCATTATGAAGAATCCACAAAATAGTCCCAACACAATTAATGCCTAGATAAATTCACATAGGAAAAGATGATCCTTCAAGGTACCTTGGCCCAAACGATCAGCACTTTGAATTGAACCCAGAAACCAGTGTACTAACTGAGCTTTAAGCATGGTACTTAAAGGTAGTTTATGAACAGTGCATTGTTCATTGTTACCTCTGTCTTTAAGAATTTCTATATTGTTTGTTTGTTCTTTTTCTGAATCATCTTCGTAACCAACAAGTAGATGAAGGTGGCTCACACAAAAAATTAGAAGCATTTATGTAAAGTAATGTGTTGGTCTGTTAGATACACATCTATCAAATATCTTCCCTAGGTAAAAACATAGAACAACTAATTCTGTTGTTGTGTATGTGTTATGAATGAAACAATAGGAAAACATTTCCTCTCACTCCACCCTTTAAAAAAGAATAAATTATAGGATGTAAGCCCTCTCTGTGGCCGCATCATTTATTCAATCAGGGTTGCTGAAAAACAACAGAATGAAAGTATGTACTGTTCACAGTTTTAAAAAAAAAAACACTAAAAGAACAAGTTATACTAATATCAGGGATGTAGAGGCTAAATTAATAGGGAGTTAGAATTAAATCCTTCTTGTTCAACACATGGCCATCAAAATCCAGTTCCTATTTGTTTTAACTTTTATTTTGTTCAACATGACATCAGTCCTACTAGAAGTTAAAAGAATATGAACTACAACCGTCCTGTTATCTGATGGAGGTTAGTTCTAAAAGAGAGTAAGGAACTTTGAGTAAGAAACTGAAGTTCTGGTCCTTATCTTAGGATGTGTTTCATGGTACAATCTAGAGACAGAGACAAATGTAGTTAAGTAATTGAAAGGTTGGTGATGCCCATAAAGTATACAGGGAAGTAGCTTCTGTAGAGACAGCTGAAGCTTAAGGGTACTGAAATCTTTCAACAGCTCACTCAAGTGTTTATAAAAAGCATTCAGTAGCTTTGCTCCAGCACTATTAGGACTCTGGTCAGCTCCAACAATTGTCGTCTTTCCTGAGTTGGCAAACATGCCTTCTCTTAAAATCGTCTTTATTTATTCTAATTACTTATAAATAATCACCATATCAACAGGTGCCCCCGGGGTGATATACAGATTACTAGATAAAATAACAGTGACAACAAATTTTAATACATTTTTAAAAATCGGATAAATACAGGAATAGAGATGAACCACAAATATGTGGCAGAGCACCTTCTCCCACCCAGTTCTGCCAGAGCAACCCCTTTCACCCAGGCTGGGTGGCTGAGGGGCCTAACACTGAGGGAAGTCCAGATGGAAAGAATGAGGAACAGGGCCTTCCTGGCAGTGGCCCCTCGCCTTTGGAACAACTTGCCTGTGGAGATCCGCCTAGCTCCCTCTCTAGGTGTTTTCAGGAATAAACTTAAAACCTGGCTATTTGGGCAGGCTTTCCCTCCTGCCATATCTTAATTTCTTAGACTTTCGCCACCTTGGATCTATAATGTATGTTTTTTTGTTTTTAAATTTGTAAACCGTCCAGAGTAGACCTTTGGTATAGATGAGCAGGATAAAAATCCAATAAATAAATAAATAAATAAATAAATAAATAAACAAACAAACAAACAAACAAACAAACAAACAAATAAAATCCATTAAAAGCTTGACAGAACAATGCATTTTTTTCTTCTTGAACCTGTTTTGTGGACTTATCAATGTAACCTCTCTAGGTTGTGGGATTTATATAATTAGTTATGGGAATATTTGTACACAAGGAGGCAGTCTTTACATCTTGGCCTCAAAACATTTAGGGTTTTATAGGCAACAGCCAGCACTTTGGATTAGGCTCAAAAAAAACAAACAAACCTAGAGTCCAATGAAGCTGAACAAAACTGATATTACTAACTAACCCTTGCTTACCTTTTCCCCCTCTTTCTTTGCCATCTTGTATAATCTATTAATTTATTAGCGGGTGTCACAATTTTGTGTATATTTGTTGTTTTTATTTAAGTATCTGGAAGCTGCCTAGAATGGTCGCAAAACCAGATGGGTGGGGTATTAAATAAATAAA